GAACTTGTGCCCCAGAAGGAGGAAGGGTTGCTATCTTGTATGTGCAGCTATGATTGCTTAGCTTTCCAATTAATCTACTCTAAGTAACTTAACCAACTTGTTTTTGTTACTAGAAATTAATGAAAATGCAATCAGTATTTGCAAATGCAAAATTCTGCAGAAATACAAGTCATTCTGTTATATTTCACCCCACTCCACAGGGCAGCAGAGAAGATTTTTTAATTTACCCACTAAGAACAAACTGCTGATTTGGCTCTGTGGTTCTTGGAAGCCGTCTTTGTTCTGCTATTTCCTGCTGCTTTCTTGAGCTGTGTATTTCAGATGTGAACGGGGACCTACTCAAAGTCTCTTTATGCTTGCAACGGTATGACATAATTCCTGGGATAGATGCAGATAGGTGCTATTTGCCAGTAGAAAGGAAATGGAAAGCAAAAGCATAGCTGGAAGTTTTTTTTATTAGTGTTGAGGATTTGATGCTTGTCGCTGACATGCAACAGTTAACAGCCTTCCCCAGGTGCTGACCTTGCTTGATGTGTTCAGCAGAGGCTGCATGCTAGATCACATCTCCTAAGACTTTCAGCACTTCATGTGATCGTTGTGCCTTTCATCCTGAGACACATTTGATGTGGCCACACAGTGAGACCATCCAAGCTTGCCTTTGCAGCATTGGCAGCTGCCCTTAGCAGCTCCTTTCACACAGCTCTGCTGCAGGCTGACATTGTGAAGTTGTCTGCAGGCCAGACAGTGCTGCAGGGGAAGCAGGCACTTTTCTGGCTGCATTAACAGATGATTAAAATTAAAAACAAGGCATTGACATTGTGCTTGTTTGCATGAGTGTGGTGCTTCAATGTGTGCAAGTGTTCACCGACACATGTCATGTACAGAATTTTGTTCATGTGTGTTGAGAGGGGGGAATATATCACTGCAGTGATCTGACACCTCACCTGCTCTGGTGGCCTTATTTCAAACATTTTTTTGATGCCAGCTTGAATAACATGCTTTAAGAATCCATGGATGACCTGGGAGGAACTGAATGATTGTCCTTAGAGCCATTTGTACTTCCTGTTTTGTGACCTTGGCAGATCAGCGATTGGGAAAGTTGTTCACGTGCCATCTGCACCTGACAGCTTTGCCATGCAGCAATAGATAATTTCCTTTCCAAACACGACTGGCTTCTGATACCAGTGGGAAATTGGCAGCTTCTATATGAAAGCAGTAGATTCCAGTTTCCTCTTTTGGCTTTTCATTGAGATAGGAAAGGAATTGTTATTGTTACTGTCCCAGAGCTCTGTGTCAGAGCACTCTTCCCCACGTAACTGCTTTTGCCGTCAAAACCAGATTGTCAATATGATACTGCATCACACCATGCAGTGGGTATTGGATTGCCTCAGGGTTGTTTTTTCCCCAGTATCACAGGCTTAATTCTAAACAGAATTGCACAACTTACTGTGGAAATATTTTCCACTTCTTTTGTCTCTTGGGTTCTCTTCCTCATGTCTGTGAAAGAATAATAGAGTGCAGAGTAAAGTGGCTATCTGGTGGTAGAGCTTAAGAAACAACACAGTGGAATTGAAAGGTACTTTTCTCCCTATTTCATTCTCATGTAAAAAATATGATGTGAAGCAGCATTCACTGTTTTTTCAGTTCTTCAGAAATGGTGGAAAGCTGTTGTGACTTGTTTATAGGAGGTGTTTAAATCAGCAGGTGTTTAAATCAGTGGTGGTGGGCAGGACACAGACACTTGCCTCATCTCCACCCTGAAGTATCAGCTTTGCAAAGAACTGCAAAGGAGCTATGTGGCTGACAAGAAGGTGATGAGTTTATTTCCACTGTTAATAGCATAAAGCATTGGATTTACAAGTGATTCAAAGATTTACTCTCCCTGAAATTTAGGGTAAATTGTTGCACCAAATGTGTGTCTTCATAAATGCACACTGTGGTTTTCTTCCTGCCAGTTAATGGAGATGGAGATAGAATCATGTGGTTTTGTCTGTGCTTTCATGTGGCATTATTAATGACACAGGTAATCCTGTTTGTCTTAAAATCAAGGCAAATATCTCTCATGTTCTGTCCATCTGTTCCAGACACCAGCAGCATTCTCATCACCATGGTATTGGAACACTCTGGTACACAAATAGCGATCAGCAGTTATTAACATAATATTATTACTTGGTCCATAAAGCTAATATTGGCAGAGATACTAGACATCATACACTGTGAGAAAGTTTATCAGCAGATGTACTTTGTTCTTTCAGAATATGATAATACTCTGTATAAAAATCAGTAAAGGATTAATTTTTATTATGTTACAGAAGTAGCACAAATTGGCAGTATAACATATAGAAAATTTTTCTCCTTATATCCAGTAATTTAAAATCCATTGTATCTTGTTGTAGAACAGCATTCTTTAGGAAACAATAGGGTTTTTTAAACATAGATCAAATCAAACCACTGAAAGTTTTCTTTCCTTACTCTCCTTCATGCATCTCATTTACTCATGTTCAAAAGTCCGACTTCAAATGTCTCCTATTTGGTCAGTTTTCCAATGACATAATGTAAAGTTTTTAGTTGGCTTTTTTTTTTTTGTCAAACAGCCACACTTAAAAAAATCTCTGGTATTTAAATAACTGGTAAAAATGAGTCAATTTCTTTGAGGCAAATATTTGTATTAAATGAATAGCCCATCTAGATATCATTTTTTCTTTCTTTGTTAATCAGAATATATTTCTGGGAGACCTATTTTGCAAGCTTATCTACAGAGACTTTTATACTGAAGCAAGATGGAGCATTTTCAGATTGCAACTTCACAGTTGCAACGAAACAAAAGTGAAACCAAAGTATTAAATATTATATATATTTTCTCTACTCTACAACAACTTTTGATTGCTTTAGGTGGCAAATAGCTGCTAAACTAACATTCCTGTAAGCATTACAGTGTCCACACAAGTGCTGCTGTAATAAAAGGGAATGTCTTTATCTGTGTTGGTTGTGGGCACAAGCAGATTGCATCAGCCACCACTACTCTTTCAGAGAACATGAAACTTACTGCTCATGATGTTGGTTCAGTCTCCATCTTTATATCAATAGCTTTCTTTCTTTTTTTTTTTTTTTTTAAAGTTAACTACAATAATCAGGGTTTACAATAACCTAATTAAAAATGTAAATGGATTGCTAAGAACACTGTTGTCAAATGGGCTGTGTATGTGTGGAGTCTAACTGAAATAGATGGATAGGCCAAAGGGAATCTTGTTATAAAAACAGAGAATCACTCCCTACAGTTCAGCTTTGCCTTGAACACTTAGCTGTTGGCTCAACTGTGGGAAGGAGTCTAAAGTACTGGGTGACTTTTGTACCTATCTAGATAAATTGAAGGGCGAAGTGCAGCATTTTTATCCTGTCATTCCCTTTTATCAATCTCAATTATTAAGCAAGTGGTGGATATTAAGATCAACCTTGACTCAAACGTTTAACAGACATGTCTCATTAGACAAACCCCATGTGTCCCGTTACATTTTGTTCGGGGTCTGTCTCTCACTGGATGCATGCCAGATTGTCCTTCAGGATACAGTCCGGTGAGTAGGAGAAAAAATGTGTTTGAAGTTGGCATAATTGCAATGAACATAAAGGTACAGTTGGAACTTTCTTGGTACGCTCTCTTCTGTCTTGCTATCGTAGGCCAGTGTCTTGATTCTCTGCAGTCAATTGCTTTGGAGCACTGTTACTGACAAGAATGAGTCACTTCTGGCTCAGTCTGATGGGTTTCTTTGGACTGAAAAAGCTGTAGCTGGGCTAAATGCCATACCCACAGTTCATCTTATGTATCTCTTTTTATCATGTACAGTGACTGCCCACAAAAAGAAAATCAAGATGCATCACTTCCAGTTTTTATAAGAAATTTCTGTAACAGGTTTTCTTGTATCCATGAATATAATCACAGGATCACATAATGGTTTGGGTTAGAAAGGACCTTAAAGATCATCTAGTTCCAACCCCCCTGCATGGGCAGGGACACCTCCCACGAGACCAGGCTGCTCCAAGCCCCATCAAACCTGGCCTTGAACACTTCCAGGGAAGAGGCATCCACAACTTCCCTGGGCAACCTGTTCCAGTGTCTCACCACCCTCACAGGAAAAAAATTCATCCTAATATCTAATCTAAATCCACCCTCTTCTAGTTTTAAGCCATTACCCCTTGTCCTATCACTTCATGCTCTTGTAAAAAGCAACCCCACTGATCCCCCAGCTTTCCTGTAGCCCCTTCAGCGACTGACATTGTGAAGTTGTCTGCAGGCCAGACAGTGCTGCAGGGGAAGCAGGCACTTTTCTGGCTGCATTAACAGATGATTAAAATTAAAAACAAGGCATTGACATTGTGCTTGTTTGCATGAGTGTGGTGCTTCAATGTGTGCAAGTGTTCACCGACACATGTCATGTACAGAATTTTGTTCATGTGTGTTGAGAGGGGGGAATATATCACTGCAGTGATCTGACACCTCACCTGCTCTGGTGGCCTTATTTCAAACATTTTTTTGATGCCAGCTTGAATAACATGCTTTAAGAATCCATGGATGACCTGGGAGGAACTGAATGATTGTCCTTAGAGCCATTTGTACTTCCTGTTTTGTGACCTTGGCAGATCAGCGATTGGGAAAGTTGTTCACGTGCCATCTGCACCTGACAGCTTTGCCATGCAGCAATAGATAATTTCCTTTCCAAACACGACTGGCTTCTGATACCAGTGGGAAATTGGCAGCTTCTATATGAAAGCAGTAGATTCCAGTTTCCTCTTTTGGCTTTTCATTGAGATAGGAAAGGAATTGTTATTGTTACTGTCCCAGAGCTCTGTGTCAGAGCACTCTTCCCCACGTAACTGCTTTTGCCGTCAAAACCAGATTGTCAATATGATACTGCATCACACCATGCAGTGGGTATTGGATTGCCTCAGGGTTGTTTTTTCCCCAGTATCACAGGCTTAATTCTAAACAGAATTGCACAACTTACTGTGGAAATATTTTCCACTTCTTTTGTCTCTTGGTCTCTCTTCCTCATGTCTGTGAAAGAATAATAGAGTGCAGAGTAAAGTGGCTATCTGGTGGTAGAGCTTAAGAAACAACACAGTGGAATTGAAAGGTACTTTTCTCCCTATTTCATTCTCATATAAAAAATATATTGTGAATATATGTGAAAGCAGCATTCACTGTTCTTTCAGTTCTTCAGAAATGGTGGAAAGCTGTTGTGACTTGTTTATAGGAGGTGTTTAAATCAGCAGGTGTTTAAATCAGTGGTGGTGGGCAGGACACAGACACTTGCCTCATCTCCACCCTGAAGTATCAGCTTTGCAAAGAACTGCAAAGGAGCTATGTGGCTGACAAGAAGGTGATGAGTTTATTTCCACTGTTAATAGCATAAAGCATTGGATTTACAAGTGATTCAAAGATTTACTCTCCCTGAAATTTAGGGTAAATTGTTGCACCAAATGTGTGTCTTCATAAATGCACACTGTGGTTTTCTTCCTGCCAGTTAATGGAGATGGAGATAGAATCATGTGGTTTTGTCTGTGCTTTCATGTGGCATTATTAATGACACAGGTAATCCTGTTTGTCTTAAAATCAAGGCAAATATCTCTCATGTTCTGTCCATCTGTTCCAGACACCAGCAGCATTCTCATCACCATGGTATTGGAACACTCTGGTACACAAATAGCGATCAGCAGTTATTAACATAATATTATTACTTGGTCCATAAAGCTAATATTGGCAGAGATACTAGACATCATACACTGTGAGAAAGTTTATCAGCAGATGTACTTTGTTCTTTCAGAATATGATAATACTCTGTATAAAAATCAGTAAAGGATTAATTTTTATTATGTTACAGAAGTAGCACAAATTGGCAGTATAACATATAGAAAATTTTTCTCCTTATATCCAGTAATTTAAAATCCATTGTATCTTGTTGTAGAACAGCATTCTTTAGGAAACAATAGGGTTTTTTAAACATAGATCAAATCAAACCACTGAAAGTTTTCTTTCCTTACTCTCCTTCATGCATCTCATTTACTCATGTTCAAAAGTCCGACTTCAAATGTCTCCTATTTGGTCAGTTTTCCAATGACATAATGTAAAGTTTTTAGTTGGCTTTTTTTTTTTTAGTCAAACAGCCACACTTAAAAAAATCTCTGGTATTTAAATAACTGGTAAAAATGAGTCAATTTCTTTGAGGCAAATCTTTGTATTAAATGAATAGCCCATCTAGATATCATTTTTTCTTTCTTTGTTAATCAGAATATATTTCTGGGAGACCTATTTTGCAAGCTTATCTACAGAGACTTTTATACTGAAGCAAGATGGAGCATTTTCAGATTGCAACTTCACAGTTGCAACGAAACAAAAGTGAAACCAAAGTATTAAATATTATATATATTTTCTCTACTCTACAACAACTTTTGATTGCTTTAGGTGGCAAATAGCTGCTAAACTAACATTCCTGTAAGCATTACAGTGTCCACACAAGTGCTGCTGTAATGAAAGGGAATGTCTTTATCTGTGTTGGTTGTGGGCACAAGCAGATTGCATCAGCCACCACTACTCTTTCAGAGAACATGAAACTTACTGCTCATGATGTTGGTTCAGTCTCCATCTTTATATCAATAGCTTTCTTTCTTTTTTTTTTTTTTTTTTAAAGTTAACTACAATAATCAGGGTTTACAATAACCTAATTAAAAATGTAAATGGATTGCTAAGAACACTGTTGTCAAATGGGCTGTGTATGTGTGGAGTCTAACTGAAATAGATGGATAGGCCAAAGGGAATCTTGTTATAAAAACAGAGAATCACTCCCTACAGTTCAGCTTTGCCTTGAACACTTAGCTGTTGGCTCAACTGTGGGAAGGAGTCTAAAGTACTGGGTGACTTTTGTACCTATCTAGATAAATTGAAGGGCGAAGTGCAGCATTTTTATCCTGTCATTCCCTTTTATCAATCTCAATTATTAAGCAAGTGGTGGATATTAAGATCAACCTTGACTCAAACGTTTAACAGACATGTCTCATTAGACAAACCCCATGTGTCCCGTTACATTTTGTTCGGGGTCTGTCTCTCACTGGATGCATGCCAGATTGTCCTTCAGGATACAGTCCGGTGAGTAGGAGAAAAAATGTGTTTGAAGTTGGCATAATTGCAATGAACATAAAGGTACAGTTGGAACTTTCTTGGTACGCTCTCTTCTGTCTTGCTATCGTAGGCCAGTGTCTTGATTCTCTGCAGTCAATTGCTTTGGAGCACTGTTACAGACAAGAATGAGTCACTTCTGGCTCAGTCTGATGGGTTTCTTTGGACTGAAAAAGCTGTAGCTGGGCTAAATGCCATACCCACAGTTCATCTTATGTATCTCTTTTTATCATGTACAGTGACTGCCCACAAAAAGAAAATCAAGATGCATCACTTCCAGTTTTTATAAGAAATTTCTGTAACAGGTTTTCTTGTATCCATGAATATAATCACAGGATCACATAATGGTTTGGGTTAGAAAGGACCTTAAAGATCATCTAGTTCCAACCCCCCTGCATGGGCAGGGACACCTCCCACGAGACCAGGCTGCTCCAAGCCCCATCAAACCTGGCCTTGAACACTTCCAGGGAGGAGGCATCCACAACTTCCCTGGGCAACCTGTTCCAGTGTCTCACCACCCTCACAGGAAAAAAATTCATCCTAATATCTAATCTAAATCCACTCTCTTCTAGTTTTAAGCCATTACCCCTTGTCCTATCACTTCATGCTCTTGTAAAAAGCAACCCCACTGATCCCCCAGCTTTCCTGTAGCCCCTTCAGTTACAGGTACAAGCTGCTCTAAGTTCTCCCCAGGTTGAACAACTCTCAGCTGGTCTTCATATGAGAGGTGCTCCAGCTCTCTGATCATCTGATCATCTTCATGGCCCTCCTGTGGACTCACTCCAGCAGAAGGTGGTTATGGAGGACTTTGCTCTCCTGGTTGCAGTGTACATCACAACATCACACACTACAGTTTTCTCTTGTCTTTTTCATTTTAGATGGGCCTCATCCTCCTCCCTCATGCCAGATTGTCCTTCAGGATACAGTCCGGTGAGTAGGAGAAAAAATGTGTTTGAAGTTGGCATAATTGCAATGAACATAAAGGTACAGTTGGAACTTTCTTGGTACGCTCTCTTCTGTCTTGCTATCGTAGGCCAGTGTCTTGATTCTCTGCAGTCAATTGCTTTGGAGCACTGTTACTGACAAGAATGAGTCACTTCTGGCTCAGTCTGATGGGTTTCTTTGGACTGAAAAAGCTGTAGCTGGGCTAAATGCCATACCCACAGTTCATCTTATGTATCTCTTTTTATCATGTACAGTGACTGCCCACAAAAAGAAAATCAAGATGCATCACTTCCAGTTTTTATAAGAAATTTCTGTAACAGGTTTTCTTGTATCCATGAATATAATCACAGGATCACATAATGGTTTGGGTTAGAAAGGACCTTAAAGATCATCTAGTTCCAACCCCCCTGCATGGGCAGGGACACCTCCCACGAGACCAGGCTGCTCCAAGCCCCATCAAACCTGGCCTTGAACACTTCCAGGGAAGAGGCATCCACAACTTCCCTGGGCAACCTGTTCCAGTGTCTCACCACCCTCACAGGAAAAAAATTCATCCTAATATCTAATCTAAATCCACCCTCTTCTAGTTTTAAGCCATTACCCCTTGTCCTATCACTTCATGCTCTTGTAAAAAGCAACCCCACTGATCCCCCAGCTTTCCTGTAGCCCCTTCAGTTACAGGTACAAGCTGCTCTAAGTTCTCCCCAGGTTGAACAACTCTCAGCTGGTCTTCATATGAGAGGTGCTCCAGCTCTCTGATCATCTGATCATCTTCATGGCCCTCCTGTGGACTCACTCCAGCAGAAGGTGGTTATGGAGGACTTTGCTCTCCTGGTTGCAGTGTACATCACAACATCACACACTACAGTTTTCTCTTGTCTTTTTCATTTTAGATGGGCCTCATCCTCCTCCCTAGTCCTTCAGGTGTATGACATGGAACATAAAATGTAACCACTAAAATAGTGTAGATCATTATTTTGCACAATTTGCAATGACTGCTCTAAGTAGGAGTTGGGGGAGAGAATGGTGTCATAGTTTTGCAGAACTAGTTGCCTCCCAAAAGCAGCTGCTCTGAGTAGGGTGGTCGTTCAATTTGCCAATTATTATATTAGTACAGGGGCAATCTCTAGAAAAGATCAGGTAGACTGTTTGGAATTAATGAGGGAGGCTGGAGTCTCTGCTAATGTTAATTAGGTGTTGATTATATACACAGTAGTCCATTGCCCTTTCTGAACTATAGTTCTAGAATGAAAAAACAATGAAAAATCATCACAGCAGAAGCTGTCACCCTTATTCCCATGAGCATTATATCTCTTCCATGAGGATCTCCTGTGGATAACAGATAGGAAAGCGTCTGTTGTAGTTGCAAAATGTAGGTGTCCTGATGATTTTTTCTTCAATTGCTATCTCACATAGTTTTACGACCTTAATTCACTGATAAATGTTTTAAGCCAGATGAAGCCTTTACTAATTTTCTTTTTCTTCAAAACTTGCAAAAAAAAATTACCAGTATTTCACCATTCAAAGATGGTTCTTTGCTTCTTCAAAGACTTATCGAACTGATCTATACTGTCCTTCTCACAGAACTGCAGTGGTGTACCCTTGTATGACACAAATGATGCAAATTATGAACTTCTGTCTGAAATAATAGAGATTACACCTAATCCTGAACTGACATCTGAAGGATTTTAAATAAAGGTTATCCATGACAGGTCTGTAAGCCAGCCTCAGTTAGTTCTGGTCTGCCCTGCATTAGAAGGAAGATTAAGGTTTTCAACTCTTCTAACAGATCCAGAGCCTGAGTTTTTTTCCTTAAGCTTTTGTTACATTTAAGGATTCATGCTGAATAACAATAATAAAAGATTAATCCCATCTGGCTTTCTGTTGATTGTTAGTTTAATTTAGTGCATGACTACTCAAAGTTTAGTCTGCCAG